CTAATAGAACAAGAACCCGGCAATGTGATGTTATAGTGGCCAGAATACGCCTGGGATATAGACGTATCTGGCAGCTTTCTCAAAACCCAAATGTCGAGTACACAATGTGTCAACATTGTGAAAGAGAAAACATGCACTCTCTTGAACATTATATTGTAGAATGTCCCATACTGACTGACTTTCGCCCTCCTGGGCTAAGGTATGCCGAACTCTGTAACTACTATATGAGTACTGGAACACTTGATGATATATTGGACTTGTACCCTAGATTGACCATGTAACGTATCATTTATACAATGAATGTATGTGACGTAACTCTATAACCTGAGTTTGAAAAAGCACCTTTATCACCTTCAGTGATTAAGGGCTTAATTTTTTAAATGTTTTTACCTGCCACAGACCTGACATCTATATAGTAGGTATATAAAAACATTCGCGTATTCGAATTCAACGTTGCATCAAGATTTTGAACCAATCGGTAAGAAGTTTTCAATGAAGAACTATCAGAGATTTCCCTCAATTGAAAAACACATTTTTTCATAAAAAGCTTGTTTTTTACCTGTCACGGACGTGACATTTATATAGTAGGCATATAAAAACAAGAGCGTGTTTGAATGAAACATTGTGTCAAAATTCCCCACTCCCTTATTCGAATGGAACGTTGTGTCAAAATTCCCCACTCCCTTATTCGAATGGAACGTTGTGTCAAAATTCCCCACTCCCTTATTCGAATGGAACGTTGTGTCAAAATTCCCCACTCCCTTATTCGAATGGAACGTTGTGTCAAAATTTCAAAGCAATCGGTGAAGAACGTTCGGAGATTAGCGATTTTAAACAAACCTTTTTATTTATATAGACAAGTTGTACCCGGCCATGCATTGCTGTGGCTCAGCAACGCATGCACGTTGCTGAGCCACAGCAACTCTCCCGTCTCTTCATCCACCCCACCTTTCCCCTGTCGCCTGTCCGCTCGTCCTCCCCACTATCCCCAACTCTCCTGTCCCCTCGTCTTCCCCACCATTCCCCAGTCCCCCATCCTCTCGTTTTCCCAATTCACTTGTCCTCCCACCATTCCCCCATTCCCTTCCTCCCTCATCCTCTATACTGTCCTCCCTCTCCCCTGTCCCTTTGTCCTCCCTAACATTCACCATTCTACCGTCCCCTCGTCCTTCCCACTATTCCTCACTCCCCTGTCCTCTCGTCCTCTCCTCCATCCCCCACTCCCTCATCCCCTAGTCCTCCCCACTATTCCTACTCACTCGTCCGATGCGTTTCCCAATGATGTGATGTTCCCATCAGAAAAATTGGAACATCAAATGATCTAATGTTCACATCACTGAAAAATAAGAACAGTTAAAAAACTGACATAAAAAAGTAAAAAAATAAGGAGTAAACTATGCTCACAAAATGAACGATATGGTAAACAACACAGCTCAATTCTAATGCAATGTCACTCAAAATAATTAAATTAAAAGGAAAATTTATCGAAATCTCTTTAAATTCAATTTAACAATGCAATCAAAAACATTGAAATGGAATCGTAACATATTTAGTATAGCGTGTGTTGCTTTTATGTCCAACAGATTGCGCTATTAAAAAAAACACAGGATTAATGTTGATTGGTGATTGTATGGAAATTAGTTAGGAGTAGATAAAAAAAATTATTTGAGGCATTGGTCAAACTTTTTAGGGGGGATCATGCTTAGTAGGTGCAGGATAAGAAATTTGTGTGAATGACAGGTTTACACACGAATTTCCTAATGTTGGAGATGGGGAGTTGTAACCGTCCCCTTCCTTCCCCTTCCTACACTTTTCCCCTCCCTTTTCCCTATGTTCGTCTCTCCTTTCCCAAAAAAGGAGAGTCAAAAAAAGCTAAAATAAGATGATGCTAAAAATTCCCCATCACACAGGATGGTTAGGCATACAGAGAGGCATGTGATAGGCAGTCTGCACTGGCAGACTCCGGAAGCATTTTGAGGATATTATCACCAAAAGAGTGAATAAGGTAGCAGTGGTAATAAAAGTCCCCATCTCGCAGGATGGTTAGTCAAACAGGGCCATATGTTTTGTAGCCTACACTTGCAAATTTTGGGTACACTGTGAGGATATCTTCAAGAATACGAGAATGAATAGTGATTGCAAAGCTCCAGGTACCTCATGCCAACTGGTCTGAAAGGTGTAATAACTGGGTATTCGGTGATGTAGTGTGGGAGATCGTGCCGTAGTTCCTGCTCACAGAGTTTGCAACTGGAGTGCTCAGGATTGGGAGATCCGAGGATATGGGTGTGGGAACAAGCTAGCAATCTACGGGAGTGAAACATACTCTCCTATGCAGGCCTACGTCTGTCTTGGAACATTCATAGGTGGAAAGCCAGGGAGGCCTAGTGGGTGGAGCTCCTATGGGCAGTGCTTGGCACTGTTTGGCTGGACGCAGGCCTAGAACCAGACTTCGTAATGGTTGGCTGAAGGCTTATGTGGGTGGAGCCAAGGAAACTAGAATAGTTGTGGGTAGAGTCATTCTTCACTTGTAGGTTGTTGAACCTAATTTTAGTCAGTATGTACTAGGAGTCAGCTTGGGGAAAGGTCACCAAGGACCTGGAGAGAACTTACAACATTGTTGGGCTGAAAATTAAAGGGTAAAAGGTAATGTGCTATCGTTTGGTTAAGCATTAAAGGATAAAAGGTCATGTGCTATCGTTTGGTTAAGCATTGAGTTTATTATTACACCATTGCCTCGTTAAAGGATTTATATTGCCTAGGATGTATTTACATGCCATTATTTAAATAAAATTAATTTTTGATTATTATGGTGTTTAGCTAATTTTCTCTCTAATTAATTTGAGTCATTAAATTTTCATTACATGCTATCTTGGATGTTTCCTTGTGTTCCTCCATCCCTTTCTGACTAAAGATGTCCCTTGATCCTCAGTAAGTAAACTAAACAGTTCTACATATTATTTCCAAGTAGTTAATTTCAAACGTTTTCTTACGTCATTCAAGGATTTATTATTGAACTCCGTCTTCCCTGGGAGACCAATAACTTCAGTCACATTCATCAACAAACATGGAAGTGTTGACAGTGTTTATGTATAAGTATTATTGAAGTAATAACAACAGTTTTTGGTTCCCTTTTAAATTATTCAGTTAACATGGAGTTGGTGAACAAATTTGTGGGTCAAAGTGGGCTTTGGAAGCTGTGTTAAGATAGGGCATTAATCGGGTAGTAATCTGGTGTTACAGGGCGCTCCAGTGGATAAGGGAGTACCTAAGAAATAGGAAGCAGAGAGTTACAGTGAGGGGTGAGACCTCAGATTCAACAGTCTCCGTGGTGTAGTGGTAAGACACTCGCCTGGCGTTCCGCGAGCGCTATGTCATGGGTTCGTATCCTGGCCGGGGAGGATTTACTGGGCGCAAATCCTTAACTGTAGCCTCTGTTTAACTCAACAGTAAAATGTGTACTTGGTTGTAACAAGGATTCTTCGCGGCAGGGGATCGTATTCCAGGGACCATAGGATTAAGGACTTGCCCGAAACGCTACGCGTACTAGTGGCTCTACAAGAATGTAACAACTCTTGTATATATCTCAAAAAAAAAAAAAAAAAAAAAAAAAAAAAAAAAAAAAAAAAGATTGGCGTGAAGTCACCAGTCTCCAGTGGAGTCCCACAGGGCTCTGTACTCGGTCCTATCATGTTTCTGATATACATAAATGATCTTCCAGAGAGTATAGACTCATTCCTCTCAATGTTTGTTGTTAATGCCAAAATAATGAGATAGATTAAGATAGAGGAGGACAGCTTGAGGCTTCAATAAGACCTGGACAAACTGAAGGAATGGTCCAACAAATAGTTGTTAGAGTTTGACGCAAACAAATGTAATGTAATGAAGATAGGTGTAGGGAGCAGGAGGCCAGATACAAGGTATCATCTGGGAGATAAAATTCTTCAAGAGTCAGAGAGAGAGGAAGACCTGGGGGTTGATATAGCACCAGACCTGTCCTGTGAAGCCCATATCAAGAGGATAACATCAGCGGCATATGCAAGGTTGGTCAATATAAGAACAGCCTTTAGAAACTTGTGAATGGAATCATTCAAAACCTTGTATACCACATATGTCAGACCAATCCTGGAGTTTGCAGTTCCAGCATGGAGTCCATATCTCGTCAAACACTAGATTAAATTAGAGAAGGTTCAAAGGTTTGCCACAACACTATTACCCGAACTGAGGGGCATGAGTTACGAGGAGAGACTACGTGAATTAAACTTGAAGTCGCAGGACAACAGAAGAGTTAGTGGGGACAAGATCATCACATACAAGATTCTCAAGAAAATTTATAGGGTAAATAAAGACAGACTATTTAACATAAAGGACACGCAATAGGGCACACAGGTGGAAATCGAGTGCCCAAATGAGCCATAGAGACATTAAAAATAACTTTGTTAGTGTCACAGTTGTTAATAAATGGATTGCCTTAGGAAGTGATGTGGTGGAGGCTGACTCCATACACAGTTTCAAGTGTAGATATGATAGAGCCCAATAGGCTCAGGAACCTGTACACCAGTTGATTGACGGTTGAGAGGCGGGACCAAAGAGCCAGAGCTCAACCCCCGCAAGCACAATTAGGTGAGCACGCAGACACACACACACACACACACACACACACACACACACACACGCACACACACACACACACACACACACACACACACACACACACACACGCGCACACACACACACACACACACACACACACACACACACACACACACACACACACACACACACACACACACACACACACACACACACACACACACACACACACACACACACACACACACACACACACACACACACACACACACACACACACACACACACACACACACACACACACACACACACACACACACACACACACACACACACACACACACACACACACACACACACACACACACACACACACACACACACACACACACACACACCTCACATATCAGTCATGGTGGTAAAGGCTCCAGGATATTGTTCAGGGAAGAAAGCATTGATCCACCGGCTGCTGCGTCGCGTTTGTATCCATTAGTGGGACGAGAAACATTGGTAAAGTGGTCTGGACTGTGTGGCCCGTGGACCATGGTGCCGGTGGTCCATGGCGACGGTGGACCATGATGCCGGTGGTCCATGATGCCGGATGGTCCATGATGCCGGTGGTCCATGATGCCAGTGGTCCATGGCAACAGTGGACCATGATGCCGGTGGACCATGATGCCGGTGGACCATGATGCCGGTGGACAATGTTGCCAGTGGTACATGTTGCCAGTGGACCATGTTGCCGGTGGACCATGATGCCGGTGGTCCATGATGCCAGTGGTACATGTTGCCAGTGGACCATGTTGCCGGTGGACCATGATGCCGGTGGTCCATGATGCCAGTGGTACATGTTGCCAGTGGACCATGTTGCCGGTGGACCATGATGCCGGTGGTCCATGATGCCAGTGGACCATGTTGCCGGTGGTCCATGATGCCGGTGGACCATGATGCCCGTGGTCCACGGCGACGGTGGTCCATGATGCCGGTGGACCATGATGCCGGTGGACCATGATGCCCGTGGTCCACGGCGACGGTGGTCCATGATGCCGGTGGACCATGATGCCGGTGGACCATGATGCCGGTGGTCCATGATGCCGGTGGACCATGATGCCGGTGGACCATGATGCCGGTGGTCCATGTTGCCAGTGGACCATGATGCTGGTGGTCCATGTTGCCAGTGGACCATGATGCCGGTGGACTATGATGCCAGTGGACCATGTTGCCGGTGGACCATGATGCCAGTGGACCATGTTGCCGGTGGACCATGATGCCCGTGGTCCACGGCGACGGTGGTCCATGATGCCGGTGGACCATGATGCCGGTGGACCATGATGCCGGTGGACCAAGATGCCGGTGGACCATGATGCCGGTGGACCAAGATGCCGGTGGACCATGATGCCCGTGGTCCACGGCGACGGTGGTCCATGATGCCGCTGGACCATGATGCCGGTGGACCATGATGCCCGTGGTCCACGGCGACGGTGGTCCATGATGCCGGTGGACCATGATGCCGGTGGACCATGATGCCGGTGGACCAAGATGCCGGTGGACCATGATGCCGGTGGACCATGATGCCGGTGGACCAAGATGCCGGTGGACCATGATGCCGGTGGACCATGATGCTGGTGGTCCATGTTGCCAGTGGACCATGATGCTGGTGGTCCATGTTGCCGGTGGACCATGATGCTGGTGGTCCATGTTGCCAGTGGACCATGATGCCGGTGGTCCATAATGGTCTAAACTGGTGGATCATTATACTAGTGGATCATGAAAATGATGGATCTCAATACAGGTGGATCACAATACTAGTAGATCATAATAGTGGTGGATAATAATACTCGTGGATCGCAATACTGGTGGATCATAATAACAAACTTGATATTTAACAAATTTGGTATCATTTTGCTCCAGCACAGTTGAGGCAGTTGATAGTGGTAGGGATTGTGACGTTGTGACCCTTGACTTTAACAAAGCTTTTGATACAGTGTCACATGAAAGACTGATTATAAAGACAGAGGCTTATGGTACTGTAGGTGCTATATTAAGTTTGATTAGGGGCATGGCTATACTAAAGGAAACTATGAGTTAGTATAAATGGGGTTAAGTCAGAGTGGGAAAATGTTGTAAGTGGAGTGCCTCTAGGCTATGTCCTACGACCTTTGTTATTCAAAATATACACAAATGATTTAGATTCAGATTTTAGCAGCAATATTTGCAAATTTGCCGCCGATACAAAAATCGGGAGGGAAATAAACACGGAAAAAGACTCTCTATCACTTCAAGACGATTTAAATAGGGTTTTGAAATGGTCAAAAGATTGGCAGATGCAGTTTAATGCTGAAAAATGTAAGGTTTTAAGTCTGGGTAATTATGATATAGTTACAAGAAACGAGCAAGATGGTGTTGAGATTGCGAAGTCGTATTGCGAAAGGGATCTGGGAGTTATGATTAGTAAGAATTTGAAAACAAAGGCTCAATGCATGAATGTTCGTAATAAGGCGAATAGGACACTGGGATTTATTAATAGAAGCGTTAGTAACAAGACACCTGGTGTGGTTCTTCAGCTATATCTTGCTCTGGTTAGGCCCCATTTAGATTATGCAGCTCAGTTTTGGTCGCTGTACTATAAAATTAATATAAATGTACTTGAATGTCTAGCGTAGGATGATAAAGTTAATTCCCCATATTAGAAACCTGTCATATGAAGCGAGATTAAAAGAGCTTAAATTGCATTCACTGGAATGGCGAAGAGTTAAGGGTGTTGATAGACAGAACACGAAACAATGGGTATAAATTGGATAAGTTTAGATCTAGGAAAGACTTGGGTAAATACTGGTTCAGTAACAGGGTTGTTGATTTGTGGAACCAATTGCCGCGTAACATTGTGGAGGTGGGGTCCCTCGATTGTTTCAAGCATGGGTTGGACATGTATATGAGTGGGATTGGGTGGTTATAAATAGGAGCTGCCTCGTATGGGCAATCATGCCTTCTGCAGTTGCCTTTGTTCTTATGTTCTTATGTTCTTATGTTGATAGAGATTTACAAGTGGATGAATGGACATAACAAAGGGGATATTAATAGGGTATTAAAAGTATCAACACAAGACAGAACACGGAACAATGGGTATAAATTTGATACGTTTAGTTTTAGGAAAGATTTGGGTATATACTGGTTCGGTAACAGGGTTGTTGATTTGTGGAACCAATTACCGCATAACGTGGTGGAGGTGGGGTCCCTTGATGGTTTCATACGTAGGTTGGACATGTATATTAGTTGGATTGGGTGGCTATAAATTGAAGCTGCCTCATATTGGCCAATAGGCCTTCTGCAGTTACCTTTGTTCTTATGAGCCCACCACAGGCTGCGAGACGAAAGACGAAAACACCAACCACAGAAGCTACGGACTGATCAGACGAGGAAATCTTAGTTGGATCTCTACCGCACCACACATACGACACTTACTCGGTACAAGACCTCCTCATGGAGGCCAGATCACCACTACAACGACAGCACGGCTCAGCAAATGTCTCAGGCAAAGAAAAAACAGAAAACCCTAGAGGTCTACACTAACCTTACCACCTCTTGGGGGCCTCGTAGCCTGGTGGATAGCGCGCAGGACTCGTAATTCTGTGGCGCGGGTTCGATTCCCGCACGAGGCAGAAACAAATAGGCAAAGTTTCTTTCACCCTGAATGCCCCTGTTACCTAGCAGTAAATAGGTACCTGGGTGTTAGTCAGCTGTCACGGGCTGCTTCCTGGGGGTGGAGGCCTGGTCAAGGACCGGGCCGCGGGGACACTAAAGCCCCGAAATCAACTCAAGATAACCTCAAGATAACCTCCATAACTGGTACAGCTAGCCCGTCGGCACTGAAATCCTCCATGAAGACCCCCATCCGTCCCCATATCCCTAATATCAGTTAATGATACAGATAATGGCTCCAATCTACGGGCTCACCTTAGCCCGTGCTACTTGGAACTTTTCGTTTGAAGTAGCTGAATCTTAAACAACAACAACAACAAAAACACCCGTGGATCGTAATACTGTTGGATAATAGCACCCGTGGGTCATAATAGAGTTGGATAATAGCACTGGTGGACCATAAGACTGTTGGATATAAACATAAGAACATAAGAACAAAGGTAACTGCAGAAGGCCTATTGGCCCATACGAGGCAACTCGTATCTATAACCACCCAATCCCACTCATATACTTGTCCAACCCGCGCTTGAAACAATCGAGGGACCCCACCTCCAATACGTTACGCTGTAATTGGTTCCACAAATCAACAACCCTGCCACTGAACCAGTATCTACCCAAGGCTTTCCTAAATCCAAACTTATCCAATCCATGCCCATTGTTTCGTGTTCTGTCTTGTTTTGATACTTTTGTTAATCTTTCTTCATATGAAAGACTTCTAATTTGGGGAACCAACCCAGTCATCCTACGCTGGACACGTTCAAGTGAATTTATATCCATTCTATAATATGGCGACCAAAACTGAACTGCATAATCTAAATGGGGCCTAACTAGAGCAAGATATAGCTTGAGAACCACACCAGGTGTCTTGTTACTAACGCTGCGATTAATAAATCCAAGTGTCCAATTTGCCTTATTACGAACATTTATGCATTGATCCTTTTGTTTTAAATTCTTCCTTTTGTTTTAAATTCTATTTTAATAGAATTTTACATTTTAGAACTTTACATTTATCAGCATTAAACTGCATCTGCCAATCTTTTGACTATTTCTAAACCCTATCTAGATCAACTTGAAGTGATAGTGAGTCCTCCTCCGAATTAATTTCCCTACCAATTTTCGTATCATCGGCAAATTTGCAAATGTTGCTACTCAAACCTGAATCTAAATCATTTATATATATTATAAACAACAGAGGGCCCAGGACAGAGCCTTGAGGCACTCCACTTACAACATTTTCCCACTCTGACTTGATTCCATTTATACTAACTCTCTGTTTCCTTTGGTATAGCCATGCCCTAATCCAGCTTAATATAGCACCCCCAATACCATGAGACTCTATCTTTTTAATCAGTCTTTCATGTGGCACTGTATCAAAAGCTTTGCTAAAGTCAAGGTACACAACATCACAATCCTTACCACTATCAACTGCCTCAACTATGCTAGAATAAAAAGATAACAAATTTGTTAAACATGAACGGCCATTTATAAAACCATGTTGCGACTCAATTATTAATTTATGTTTTTCAAGATGAAGACGAATTTTATTTGCTATTATAGATTCGAGTAACTTTCCCACAATAGACGTTAGGCTAATTGGTCGATAGTTAGACGCAAGTGATCTATCTCCCTTCTTAAAAACTGGTATCACATTAGCAACTTTCGAAAACTCTGGGACTCTGCCTGACTCTATTGATTTATTAAATATGGTTGACAGTGGGTCACAAAGCTCCTCTTTGCATTCTTTAAGCACCCTGGCAAACACTTCATCCGGCCCTGGGGATTTGTTTGGTTTGAGTTTTACTATTTGTTTAAGAACATCCTCCCTGGTAACTGTTAAACTCGTCAACCTGTCCTCGTCCCCACTCACATAGACTTGTTCGGCTGAAGGCATATTGTTAAGTTCCTCTTTAGTAAATACAGATACAAAATATTTATTAAAAATACTACTCATCTCTTCATCACTATCTGTTATTTGACCTGTCTCAGTTTTTAATGGACCTATCCTTTCCCTAGTCTTAGTACGATATAACTGAAAAAACCCTTTAGGATTTGTCTTTGCTTGCCCTGCTATGCGAACTTCATAGTTTCTTTTTGCTTTCTTTATCTCTTTTTTAACATTTCTAACCAGTTGTACGAATTCCTGTTCTAAAGTGACCTCCCCATTTTTAATCCTTTTGTACCAAGCTCTTTTTACCTATAAGGTTCTTCAAATTCTTTGTTATCCACTTTGGGTCATTAGTATTCGATCTATTCAATTTGTATGGTATACTACGTTCCTGTGCTTTGTTTAGAATATTCTTAAATAAGTTATATATTTAAGCCACATCGAAATCCCCATTTAAGTCACCTATCGTTGGGTTCATGTCTCGCTCCAAGACCGGCCCACACCCCATACCCAAGACTTTCCAATCAATTTGACCCAAAAAATTTCTTAGGCTATTAAATTCAGCTTTTCGAAAATCTGGCACTTTAACAGAATTTTCTCCTACAGGTCTATTCCATTCTATGCTAAATCTGATTTCTTTGTGATCACTGTTACCTAGCTCACTCCCTATTTCGATGTCATTAATTTGTGTTTCCCTGTTAGTTAACACTAAATCTAAAATATTATTTTCCCGTGTTGGTTCCTTAATGTGTTGCGTAAGAAAGCAATCGTCAATTAATTCTAGAAAATCTTCTGCTTCACTATTCCCTGTTTTGTTCAACCAGTTTATTCCACTAAAATTAAAGTCACCCATGACATAAATACTGTTAGATCTAGATGCTCTAGATATTTCATCCCATAGATGCTTTGCTTCCATTCTGTCTAAATTTGGTGGCCTATATATAACTCCTATTGTAATATTATTAGCTTTTTCGTTTAATTCTATCCAAATAGTTTCTGTGTGTGGCTCAGTTTTGATTCCCTCTTTGAGACTACATTTCAAATTGTCCC